GCAAAATGAAATAAAAAGAAGAAGCGCACCAGCCTTGCGCATTACCTCAATAACCAAAGTTTATTACTTGTAAAAAACATACTCACAAACAGCGAATAAAATCAGGCATGTAAGTCCTCTCAGGGACTTGAAGATAACATGAGTCCCATCAGGGGAATGGATGTTCAGTACAGCTGACGCGTTTCGAAGGGGGTCCCTTCTTCCTCGGAGCTCTGAGGAAGAAGGGACCCCCTTCGAAACGCGTCAGCTGTACTGAACATCCATTCCCCTGATGGGACTCATGTTATCTTCAAGTCCCTGAGAGGACTTACATGCCTGATTTTATTCGCTGTTTGTGAGTATGTTTTTTACAAGTAATAAACTTTGGTTATTGAGGTAATGCGCAAGGCTGGTGCGCTTCTTCTTTTTATTTCATTTTGCAGTGCTGATTGGGCTTCCCCAGCCTTGGTTTGGAGCTGCACAGCCCTTTATGCAGTGGTGATCGTTTTCCCTAGGCCTGGTTCCATCTTGTGCCACCTGTCTGAGTCCTGGAGCGCAGGAGAATTCTTTTTCGATTCACCTTGTTGTATGTATTTGTGTTAGCTTTGGGTTTGGTGCACTGCGTTTATATTTGTGATGTCCTTAATAAATTATCTTGTTTACACGCTATACCTGAAGCCTGCATTTCCCTGTGTCAGTCCACACACCTCTGGTCATTCCCGGAGCCCTGACAGGAGTAGTGGCCATTGGTTTTAGCTGTTAGTAGATCATTAGTGAGGTTTAGTAGGGCAGTTTCAGTGGAGTGTAGTGAGTGAAAGCCAGACTGTAAAGGGTCAAGGTTGCTGTTGGTGAGGTGGGAGCTCAGGTGATTGTAGACTAAGCATTCTAGGAGTTTAGAGGTAAATGGCAGCAGGGAGATGGGTCTTAAGTTGTTCAGGTTGGTGAGGTCCAGGGAGGGTTTTTTAAGTATGGGAGTAATGTGCGCATGCTTTAAAGGGGAGGGGAATGCACCAGCAGAGAGGGAAAGATTGAAGATGTGATTGAGGGAGCATAGGATGGAAGAAGAGGGTGACCGTAGTAGTTGTGAGGGGACAGGATCCAGGGGGCAGGTAGTGAGACAGGCTTCTGAGAAAACCTTAGTGACCTCTTTGGTAGTAGCAAGGTCAAAAGAGGAAAGTGTTGAGGGAGGTTTAGTATAAGGTATGCTAAGTGAGATGGATGTCTGTGCAGTGGCGATGCCCCTACGAATTGCATCAATCTTGTTTTTGAAATGATTTGCAATCTCGTGAGCAGTGAGTGAGATACTGGGTGGAGATGGAAAGTGGAGAAAGTAGAGAGGTAAAAGTAGAGAAGAGATGACGAGGACTGGATGACAAGGTATTAAAAAGAGTGACAAAGTAGGCTTGTTTGGCAGCATGAAGGGAGGAATTGTATGTTAAGAAAGCAGATTTATATGGGGTGAATGCTTGCTGGGGATTTGGTTTTACGCCACGATCGTTCCAGCGCACGACTATGTCGTTTAAGATTTCTGGTGTGGTTAGTCTGTCATGGTTGTAATGGTCGGGGCCTGATGCTTCGTGTCATTAGAGGAGCAAGTGAGTCTAATGCAGATGAAAGCAAACTGTTGTAGACAGCAGGGGGCCAGGTCAGGGCAGGACAGGGGAGAGATTCTGTCTGTCATAGAGGAGGTCAGTTGCAGAGTGGAAAGGAGCCGGGTTCAAGTTGTGAAGGTTTCTGCGGGTAATTGTTGGCTGCTTGGAGGGATAGGTGTTTGAAGATGAGGACACTGTGAAGATGATGAGATTGTGATCAGAGAGAGGAAAGGGGGTGTTTGTGAGGTTGTAGGGAGTGCAAAGATGGGAGAAAACAAGGTCTAATGTATTCCCATCAGAGTGAGTGGAGGACGGTATACACTGTGCTAATGCAAAAGATGAGGTTAGGGTGAAGAGTTGGGATGTAGCCGAGTTAGATCCATATAAAGATCTTTATATCACTAGAGAGGTCACCGATAGGAGGAAGGATGTCCCGTTTCCTCCATATAGATCTTTATATCACTAGAGGGGTCATCGGCGGGAGGAAGGAGGTCCTGTTTCCTCTATATAGATCTTTATATCACTAGAGGGGTCACCAGCAGGAGGAAGGAGGTCCCGTTTCCTCCATATAGATCTTTATATCACTAGAGGGGTCATCGGCGGGAGGAAGGAGGTCCTGTTTCCTCTATATAGATCTTTATATCACTAGAGGGGTCACCGGCAGGAGGAAGGAAGTCCCGATTCCTCCATATAAATCTTTATATCACTAGAGGGGTCACCTATGGGAGGAAGGAGGTCCTGATTCCTCCATATAGATCTTTATATCACTAGAGGGGTCCCAACAGGAGGAAGGAGGTCCAGATTCCTCTATATAGATCTCTATAATCACTAGAGGGGTCACCGGCAGGAGGAAGGAGGTCCTGATCCTCCATATACAGTAGATCTTTATATCACTAGAGGGGTCCCCAGCAGACAACAGAGGAGAGCTGGTTGGATTTCAGGTTGATATTAAAGCGCATTTGACATATATTCCTTATAGATCAAAATGGGAGGGGAGCGTGCACGCTAGCTGGTGGAGGATTCTTCCAAGTCACATGTGGAATATCTGCTGATTTGAAGATTTTTCTGCATTACAGATCTTGATTTTTGCTGCATTTACGGACATTTATTCAGACTGTCACTGTGTTGAGGGCCAGCCAGGGTGTTTAATGGAATATTATTATCTTTATATTTTGCGTGCTTTGTTATATATAGTATCTCCCAGAAGTGAGTCCACCCCTCACATTTTTGTAAATATTTGATTCTCTCTTTCCATGTGACAACACTGAAGAAATGACACTTTGCTACAATGTGATGTAGTCAGTGTACAGCTTGTATAACATGGAAATTTGCTGTCCCCTCAAAATAACTCAACACACCGCCCATTAATGTCTAAACCGCTGGCATCAAAAGTGGGTCCACCCCTAAGTGACAATGTCCAAATTGGGCCCAATTAGCCATTTTCCCTCCCCGGTGTCATGTGACTCATTGGTGTTACAAGGTCTCAGGTGTGAATGGGGAGCAGGTGGGTTACATTTGGTGTTATCACTCTCACTCTCTCATACTTGTCACTGGAAGTTCAACATGGCACCTCATGGCAAAGAACTCTCTGAGGATCTGAAAAAAAGAATTGTTGCTCTACATAAAGATGGCCTAGGCTATAAGAAGATTGCCAAGACCCTGAAACTGAGCTGCAGCACGGTGGCCAAGACCATACAGGTTTAACAGGACAGGTTCCACTCAGAACAGGCTTCACCATGGTCCACCAAAGATGTTCAGTGCACGTGCTCAGCATCATATCCAGAGGTAGTCTTTGGGAAATAGACGTATGAGTGCTGCCAGCATTGCTGCAGAGGTTGAAGGGGTGGGGGGGTCAGTCTGTCAGTGCTCAGACCATACATCGCACACTGCATCAAATTGGTCTGCATGGCTATCGTCCCAGAAGGAAGCCTCTTCTAAAGATGATGCACAAGAAAGCCCACAGTTTGCTGAAGACAAGCAGACTAAGGACATGGATTACTGGAACCATGTCCTGTGGTCTGATGACACCAAGATCAACTGATATGGTTCAGATGGTGTCAAGTGTGTGTGTGGCGGCAACCAGATGAGGAGTACAAAGACAAGTGTGTCTTGCCTACAGCCAAGCATGGTGGTGGAGAGTGTCATGGTCTGGGGCGGCAGTTTATTGAGGGAACCATGAATGCCAACATGTACTGAAGCAGAGCATGATCCTCTCCCTTTGGAGACTGGGCCACAGGCAGTATTCCAACATGATAACAACCCCAAACACACTTCCAAAATTACCACTGCCTTGCTAAAGAAGCTGAGGGTAAAGGTGATGGACTGGCCAAGCATGTCTCCAGAACTAAACCCTCCTGAGCATCTGTGGGGCATCCTCAAATGAAAGGTGGAGGAGCGCAAGGTCTCTACCATCCACCAGCTCCGTGATGTCATCATGGAGGAGTGGAAGAGGACTCCAGTGGCAACCTGTGAAGCTCTGGTGACCTCCATGCCCAAAAGGGTTAAGGCAGTGCTGGAAAATAATGGCGGCCACACAGAATATTGACACTTTGGGCCCAATTTGGACATTTTCACTTAGGGGTGGACTCACTTTTGTTGCCAGCGGTTTAGACATTAATGGCGGTGTGTTGAGTTATTTTGAGGGAACAGCAAATTTACATGTTATACAAGCTGTACACTGACTACGTCACATTGTAGCAAAGTGTCATTTCTTCAGTGTTGTCACATGAAAAGATAGAATCAAATATTTACACAAATGTGAGGGGTGGACTCACTTCTGGGAGATACTGTGTATTATTATTTATGCCTTGATTACTCAGACTATTTGCACATTTGTTGAAGTTGCACTCATTGGTTTGTTCACATTTGGTGTTGCCTAGCTGGACATCCATTGTTTTTGGATCTTTTCATTCTCTTGTGTTTGGTGATTCTCTAGGTATGCACTTCTATCACCTTAGTTAGGGGCTCTGTCAGGTGTTTACTTTATGGTTAGCTTTAGTGAATAGCGCAGCACTATTTATCTCTCCATTTATTTTGTAGTGTTGTGGGAACGCAGTTTGGTGTTTGCAGACACTCTTAGTTCATCATATTAGGTTTGGCAGCACAAGAGGATTTTTTCTTTATTTAACCCCTTCATTACACTCACCTCTCCAGTCAGCAGGCTGAGGATCTCCAGGGTGAGCTTCAATATCGTCTCATTCCGGGGAAATTCCTTCCTTACAATCTTCCTCAAAGTCTGCTGATTGTCCATCATGACGTCCTTGTAGAGATCCTTGTGTCCTTCTAAATACTCCCACTCCTCCATGGAGAAATAGACAGTGACACCCTGACACCTTATAGGAACCTGACACACACAATGATACAGTCACCATCCAGACACATCCCTTGTCTGTTACTGGAGAATGTCCCAGAATTCCCGGCACCGCTCACCTCTCCTGTCAGCAGCTCCATCATCTTCTTGGTGACTTCTAGAATCTTCTGCATGTTGTGTCTCTCAGGGTTTAGGGAGTCACATGGAGGCACTGTGATGGTCATATGATCACCTGACTTCAGAAGAGGAAATCTCTGTATTGAGAACCAATAGGAATATCATGTTAGACTCCCAGAATCCTCCTCACCTCTCCGGTCAGGTATGTGTGTTTATTAGTAGAGATTAGAGATGATGATGTCATGTGACCTCCCAGAATCCTCCTCACCTCTCCAGTCAGGTCTGTGTTTTATTAATAGAGATGAGTGATGTCATATGATCTCCCAGAATCCTCCTCACCTCGCCGGTCAGGTCTGTGTTTTATTAATAGAGATAAGAAGTCATGTGACCTCCCAGAATCCTCCTCACCTCTCCAGTCAGGTCTGTGTATTATTAATACATATAAAAAGTGATGTCATGTGACCTCCCAGAATCCTCCTCACCTCTCCGGTCAGGTCTGTGTTTTATTAATAGAGATGAGAGTGATGTCATGTGACCTCCCAGAATCCTCCTCACCTCTCCGGTCAGCAGGTAGATGATCTCCAGGGTGAGGTTTAGTATCTTCTCAGTCATGTGACTCCGGTCCTCCTCCATCCTCATTGGTGCCATCATGTGATCTATACAGGTCTCCTTGTAGACGGATAACTTTGGGAAATGAAAGTAAGAATGATTTGGATGGTATTGGTCACACAATAATAGGATGTGGATGTGAGGGGGGAATAGGAGGGTTGCTGAACATTTAAGAAGTACTGCCCCCATGGGAAGACATTTAGTCTGAACATTTTAGTTTTTGCTAAATCTGATCTTGGAGGTCCCGGGATGCACTTGACCTGCCGTATCAAAAATACCTTTTTTCTGTTGGGTTTGTTTGGTCTCTGAACTGGTTTTGACGAGTTTTAAATCTGCAGACAAGGAATGATAAATACAATCCTTCTTTTGACTTGTTTGCTCTGAGGCAGTGCTGTGCTGTGAGATCAATGTTGGGTCATCATGAGATCAGGATAATTGGCAGCCTGCTGACTGACAGGAGTGATGTCACTATCACTCTCTGCAGTAAGAGAAGGGATTGGATTGGATAGCAGCAGGATGCTTCTGATGGAGTAGATAGCTGTGGGGGAGGAGTCTGTTCTCTCCCTCCTATGACAGCCCAGTTTGGATAGGAGAACGGCAGAAGGGAGGGGTTAGTTCTCTTCATTGCCAAGTATACTGTAATATCCAGGACAGGTCTCCTCACAGTGAGGTTCACACCTCTCCACAGAGAGGTGCGAACCTCCCTCAGGGAAGTTTCAGGCCCCAGCAGTCAGCTGACGCCGCACGGCCCCGCATCAGCAGCGCGGGCACAAAAGTTTCCATGCTTGTGGATACCACTGGACAAAGGCTGCGCTCTCAAGAGCACTGCCCGTGTCAAGGGAGGTGTGCCTCATTGCCTGGGCGATGAGGCATGCCGCCCACGGACCACCCACGGTTGCCAGGATGACCAGGGAGCATCCTGCATCAGCTTAAGAAGGCCGATGCCAGGCTCCCTGATCGTCCATTCTGCTGCCAAGCCACAGAGAGGTCTCTGCTGAGGCGAGACTTTTGTGGCCACTCTGCAATAGCCCCAGGATTACGGGGAGAAATACGCCAGCTGTCACTCTGCAAAAGCCCCAGGATTGGGGGGAGTAATATGCCAGCTGTCACTCTGCAAAAGCCCCAGGATTGGGGGGAGTAATATGCCAGCTGTCACTCTGCAAAAGCCCCAGGATTGGGGGGAGAAATACGCCAGCTGTCACTCTGCAAAAGCCCCAGGATTGGGGGGAGAAATAAGCCAGCTGTCACTCTGCAAAAGCCCCAGCCAGCTGTCACTCTGCAAAAGCCCCAGGATTGGGGGGAGAAATACGCCAGCTGTCACTCTGCAAAAGCCCCAGGATTGGGGGGAGAAATACGCCAGCTGTCACTCTGCAAAAGCCCCAGGATTGGGGGGAGAAATATACGCCAGCTGTCACTCTGCAAAAGCCCCAGGATTGGGGGGAGAAGAGACGCCAGCTGTCACTCTGCAAAAGCCCCAGGATTACTGTCACTCTGCTGTCAAAAGCCCCAGGATTACGGGGGAGAAATACGCCAGCTGTCACTCTGCAAAAGCCCCAGGATTTGGGGGAGAGACACGCCAGCTGCCACTCTGCAAAAGCCCCAGGATTAGGGGGGGGAGAAATACGCCAGCTGTCACTCTGCAGTTACCCAGGATTAGGGTGAGAATTGCTACCCGCTGACACCCTGCATTAGCCCAAGCTTGGGGAGGATTATTACCCACAGACTATGCTGCGCATACTCAGGACTCAGGGCAAGCACTTGCTGTCATACTGCCCCTGCTTTGCACCCAGGAGTGCTGGCATACTGCTGTTGGAGAGTCAAGCCTGGTCCCTGCTGCCAGGACCCCCTGCTGTGGGCTGAGAAGGGTCACCCCCTGGCTGGCATCTGCTGTGAACCCGGGCATCCCTGCCAGATCCGTGAGTGTATGCTCCTTTTTTTTCCCCCGAACTGTTCTTTACTCCATCGCCATTTCCCTGTTTGGATTACAAACTGTTGTAGAGACTCTAACTTTGCCCCTGGGGCTGGACTACAATTATTTTGAGCTCTCTCCTTGCTACTTCCCCATACCAGGGTACTGCCACACCCCCTGCAGACCCCAAATGAGTGACTGTCATTTGCTTTAATAAAGCTTTGTGTGTTTGCCATCTGCTTTGTGTGTTCTGTCCTGCCTACCCCCCCATCACAGTGATATACTCACAAACGACAATGATGTAAAAGCTCATCATAAAGAACAGCAATATCCAGTCCGCCTGATGTGGTGATCCCCACACTGGAAAGAAGAAAATATGATGCAGCGCTAATAGACACAAATGAGTAATATAAGATGTATAATTGACATAAAACATATATAGATGATAAATCTAAAATAGATCAGACACGTGACTAACACAAACAATAGTGACCCCAATGCACATGGGGATAATACAAACAGGGACCCCAAGTGCCCTAATGGGACACTACAATAAAGGCACACACAGCAGTGAGTCCCTAATATGGGATCAAGATGCAGATGGTCACACAGTGAAACACAGCAGCCCTTGGAGGAGGTGTGTGTGTGCAACCCATACGATGTGAGAAAAGGGAAGAGAGGGGGGAGAGAGAGAGAGGGGAAGAGAGAAAGGGGAAGAGAAAGGGGGAGAAGAGAGAGAGAGTCAGAGAGGGGAGAGAGAGAGAGAGAGATGATGAGATAGAGGAGAGAGATGAGAGAGAGGGAATGAAGAGAGAGAGAGGGAGAGGGAGAGAGAGAGAGAGAGAGAGAGAGAGAGAGAGAGAGAGAGAGAGAGAGAGAGAGAGAGAGGAGAGGGATGGTGAAGAGAGAGGGAATGAGAGAGAGAGGGAGTCAGGGAGAGGGAGGGAGGGAGGGAGAGAGAGAGAGAGAGAGAGAGAGAGAGAGAGAGAGAGAGAGAGGGATGAAGAGAGAGGGAATGAAGAGAGAGAGAGAGGGAATGAAGAGACAGAGGGAGTCATGGAGAGAGGAGGGAGGGAGAGAGGGAGGGGAGAGAGAGAGAGAGAGATGTGAAGAGATAGGGAATGAAGAGAGAGAGGAAATGAAGAGAGAGGGGAGTCAGGGAGAGAGACAGAGGGAGGGAAGAGAGGGAGAGAGAGAGAGAGAGAGAGGAGAGAGGAGAGAGATGGATAGAGAGAGGGAAGAGAGAGGATGGTGAAGGAGAGAGGAAGAGAAGAGAGAGAATGAATGAAGAGAGAGAGAAAAACTAGCCAGTATTGCAGTCACATGTTAGAAGCGTGTATCAAGGCAGAATCACAAGGGTGTGAGTATACAGCATACAACAGGATCCACAGTGCAGAGTACACAGCATGAAGAAAAAAAATGTGTATCGCCAATCCAAAAATGGCGCCAAACCGGAAGTACGTCAGTGCCGTCCAGTGCCGTCGACGCGTTGCGTCACGTGACCTCGTGTCCTGATTAAGTCACGAGGTCACGTGATGCAGTGCGTCGACGGCATTGACATACTCCTGGTTTGGCGCCATTTTTGGATTGGAGATACACATTTTTTTTCTTCATGCTGTGTACTCTGCACTGTGGATCCTGTTGTATGCTGTATACTCACACCCTTGTGATTCTGCCTTGATACACGCTTCCAACATGTGACTGCAATACTGGCTAGTTTATTACTTGTTAAATAAAGCTGTATTACACTATGGGGAGCGTGTTCTCTTGTCGTTCTATGTTATGAGTGGTGAGGTCTGACATTGCCTATCCACCTGCTGACCTGTCCCTGCCTACCATCCATTCTCATCATCATCTGGCTAGTAGAGCGGTACATTGAGGATCCAGAGGGGAGTATATGATTTATGACCCTGCAGGGTGGTGAAGCTTGAGGTGAGAGGCCACTTCAGCTATTGTTGGGTCGCACTGAGGGTGCGTTGCATCCACTTTTATGCATGGAATGGAATAACACCGCACCCCTATATACGGACACTTGGTGACACCTTGTGATATAGTGTTGTTGTCACTGTGTGACCATCTGCATCTTGATCCCATATTAGGGACTCACTGCCGTGTGTGCCTTTATTGTAGTGTCCCATTAGGGCACTTGGGGTCCCTGTTTGTATTATCCCCATGTGCATTGGGGTCACTACTATTGTTTGTGTTAGTCACGTGTCTGATCTTATTTTAGATTTATCATCTTATATGTTTTTATGTCAATTATATATCTTATATTACTCATTTGTGTCTATTAGCGCTGCATCATATTTTCTTCTGTTCATGACCTATATGGTAGTGGTTTGGATGCTAGAAGCTTTAGTGTGTATTAATTACACAACATTTTTATTTTAATTTTAATTTTACATAAGAGCGCAGGAGGATCTCTGTTTTATTTATAGATCCCCACAGGAACCCTGGGCCTTCAATATACTAACGCGTTTCCGGGACTTGCCCCTTCCTCAGAGCCTGCATGCACAGTGTCTGTAACCTCTTTATAAATGGTTCAGATATCGAGTCAAAGTGCTGCAGACGGGTTGTCACCTCCTCACCCAGAGGCAGGGACAGCGCCAATGAGTACCACCCACAACAAGCATAGAAGTCTATGAATGATGAATGATAACGATGGATGACAATACATGTACACAAGTCTTTGTGAAAACAGTGAAACATACAAAGGACACGGTATAAAATCTGTGTGAACAGTACATGTGCATGTGTAGAATCAAATATGTCACACGTATGTACCACCTATCATGTATATGTACTTCCTGTGCTGCATCCACGCCAACCTCCATGTGCACCACAGTGGGCAAACATGAGCTTGAAAAAGGGGTGAGGGGGATAAGTACCATAAGGATACCTGTTATCACCCTCTAGGAAGGCAGTGAATAGGTGGTGTAGGTGGCCCATTGGAACGCACACTGGCTGCTACAGGGCCAAAATATATGGCCGCCGAGTGCTACACGTGTCAAGTAGGCATGGAGCTGGAATGCAAGCTCACATAGAAGCTGACCCTGACACTGATTCCTTTACACTATTCTGCTGACCTCCCATCCTGTGCCCTGCTGACCCCTGTACACTGCCCAACTATTGC